GATGTGATGGACTTTAAGAAATATGCCCATGGTAGACTGAAAAACACCAAAATTGATACAGATGGTGGTCGTGTGAACTGGTTGTCAATGTGCTGGATGCGCTACATTAAAGGCAACCCAGAAAGCATCTTCTTCAAGACTGAGCACAGCAATGAGCCATTCAGAGAACTGAAAGTGTCTACAGGCAGCCGCCGGGGAAGACCTCAGAGTATCTGTGGACCTCTAACCCAAAGGAAAACAAGCAATTTCCTCAGCCAAGAAAAAAGATCTCATGTCACTCTGTCGGTCGGGTATTATACCCAGAGAGTATCACAACTATTACAAAGAACTCCTGACAGATGCTGACAAACTAGAATGCCTCCCTTCCTGACGCCTTAGAGCAGGATACGGACACTGATACAGACTAAAGCTACGACACTGAAACAACAGTCGTTGCTTTGTGCTATTACATGGTGTAAGTTATAATATGATTGTGGACATGGGTGAGGATAGTGTAATAATCATAGTGTCATAGTCTGGTTTTTATATATTTCTTAGTCACTTTCATTCAAATGGCATGCCATGTTTCTAAGAACATGTTATGTTGTATTATTTCCTGACTCCTCATTTACTGTAAAGTGTCCTGCTATATATTTCCTCTTTTGGCAAATTTAACTCCCGCATATAACTTGCACACAATATTTCACACAAATCACTTTTTTTCCAGACCACATAGTTATGCAAACCTTTACCTATAAGATATTTAACAAGTTTAAAGAGTATGAAATAGTGTTAAAAGGTGGATATCAGTTAAAAAATTACATTTAAATTTTGAGAAGTCATCAAATCATTAAAATTTTGAGAAGTCATCAAATCATTAACGAAACGAAATACTACTCATTATTATATCTAACATGTCACATATCTAACATGACACAACTATGTCATCAAATACCTAATGTGATTATTCAGTGTTCTATTTAATCTGTGTGATGTAATCTTGATTCACTTATAACAGACTTAATTTTTAGTATCAAAAGTATTTAGCCTTCATCTATGTCATAGTCTAGTGTCATAGTTCTATTAAGTTTTATCATCCAAAACTGTGTTCCACAGGAGACATTGCTTGTGTGAGATCAGACGATATCTCCTAGGACATATCGTTTTGAGAGTAAATTTTGCACAATGCCCTGACAATGCTATGAGGTCATGAACTTGATGACGTCGCTGCACTGCTAGTTCAATGGCGGTACTGTGTTCAGAGATGTACGTAAAACATTGGCAAGGTAAAACATTGGCAAGCCTCGGACATTTGTTACTTTATCAACTCGTGGTGATATATTTGATATCAAAAGACACTCGGGTGAGATACTCTATATACCAAGCGGCTTAAATTATTACTCAGATCGTTACATTTATCCCTAATTTGACTTAATATGTAATGGGCTTATCTGTGGTTGCGTATTTTGTGTATGTTTGTGACTGTGCTTGATTTTCTTCTATTCAGTAATTTGAAACTATACTGTGAGAATGTATACATTGCGAACGTTACCGTGTCGCTGAAAACTTATGAGTCGAATTGACACATTTAAACCGTCGTAAAACATAAACGTAATGTTTCCTCCAGTGATGTTAGCTGCGTGAAGCAACTGCAAACGAAGTAAGGGGATGCAACGGAGTAGTTTACTGTAAGAGGCCGTACTAGGCGATGACAACTGACATGCATCGTGACGTCGCTTACATTGTGACGTAATGTAAAATGGTTCGATTACGAGGGGGCACACTAGAATGGCGCAGTGACGGGAAAACGTCATTCAATTGTTACGTCATCAAAAAACTATACCTTTATTGTCTGATAATGTGGGTTTTTTTATTGTTCTAACCGCTAGGCATCTTAGAATGTCTTATAGTAATTGGTTTTATTCTTCAATAAAGAAGTACACAGTAATGATGCATTGTGGAACTATGTTGAAAGTATTGTGACGCTGTTGTCATGAATATATCTAAAAGAAAGTCTTGAAGGTGGTTTAAGCAATTACTGATGTCTTCAGTGATAACAACATGTGAAGATACAATCTCACAAGCACAATTTAAGGCGAGCTATAAGTAAAATGCATTCAATAACAGAAAGGCAGGTACTGCTGGTTAATGGTTCCAGCCACCAGCTGAGAGTGTGGGATATGGTTACAGGGCCTAGAGGAAACGGCGGTTGGCGGCTGTGATGATATGGGTGATCTTGAGATCAGGTGTCATTGCTTTTAGTTGGCTTCCGCATTGATACAATTGTTGGGGCAAAGATAATGCTCCCCGAGTTAGTGGAAACTGCGACACAGGGAAATCGTATCCGCAAACTATGCCACAATCCCCTGTTTAAAGATAACCGGATTCTTGACTCGGGGACAGACATATTCTCAACATATTCTTAACTGACATATTCTCAACATATTCTTAACTGCCATACACAAAGTTTATTTTTTCGTAATTTTGAACTGGTTAATTCGTCACATCGCTCTTTCATGTTTGACAGAGCCCAGAGTGTTTAAAAACCTGTCGACATTTACGCCAGTTTATCACAAGCTAAAGCGTTTATTTTTAAAACGTCATACCTATTTAAATTAGGCTGATTATATTTATGGTTGTATAGTAATACTTGAATGCACCAACATACTCTGTCACCTAGTCACAAAACAGTAAACAAGAATTGATTATTATTATTATTTATATAACTGTCCAAACATTTGAGTGTTGTTTCTCGAAATGTGCCTGTGTGGTTATAAGTGGTTCTGGCTCTAACCCCTCGAAATGCTTATATGTATTTCTTATGCAACAATGTAGTTGTTCGTATTCTCAAAATAGTGTCGGCCCATAAGTTTTCACATGCAATTAAAATTGCATGCAAAACAGCAATTAATACTCCCTTGTTGTAACCCGTGTTAGGTGATATAAACCTACACATGTTATTCTGTCTGTGTGCACATATGCATTTTGGATCCAGGAAGCAGCGTATCATTTGTATCTGAGAATCTGAAGGACAAGCTGGGATGTGAAGGGAAAAGAGTGAAAATTGAGCTTCAGACTATGGGAAAACCTTACAACATGGTAACATACTGTGTTAATGACCTGGAGGTGAGTGACTTGAGTGGAGAGAATGTGGTACAGTTAACTAAGGTATATTCTATGAAGAGGATGCCAGTCTCACAGCACCACATATCAACACATGTACAGGCTGACGTTTCACAGTGGCCACATCTGGCAGAGATAATGTTACCCGAGATCAACACACAGATCGGCTTGCTATTAGGCAACAATTTGCCCGACGCATACTCACCGTTACAAGTGAAAACAGGACCGTCAGGCAGCCCACATGCAACACTTACACGACTAGGATGGGTTGTTTGGAATTTGGGGAGAAATGAGATACATGATGGGCCCATGGTGACAGTAAATAGAGTTGAGATTAGAGCTTTAGAAGAGAATGAGGAACTGAGAACTTTGGATCGGATTGTAAGACATTCTATGAACTTGGATTTTCGGAACGTCTTATGGATGACAAAAGGCACCCTTCATATGAAGACAAGAAATTCTTGACAAAGGTTGAAGAGAGTATAAGGCTAGACAGTGGGTATTACACTATTGCACTGCCATTGGGAAGAGAAATAACACAGCTGCCAAGTAATTACAGCCAAGCATTCAAAAGACTGATGAATTTGAAACACAAGATGGAAAGGAATAGTAACTTCTTGAAGGACTACAGAGACTTCATGGACAAGATAGTAGCTAAGGGGTATGCTGAGAGAGTACCGGACCATGAGTTAGAGAGAGATGATGGGAGAGTGTGGTTTATTCCTCATCACGGGGTCTATCACCCCACAAACCAAACAAGATTAACTGCACAGCCATGCACCAGGGAGTTTCATTGAATAGCCTATTGTTGCAGGGACCAGATCTGACAAACCGCCTCATAGCAGTCTTATTACGCTTCAGACAGGAGCCAGTAGCAGTACTGAGAGACATTGAATCAATGTTTTACCAGGTACAGGTACCCAAAGAAGACCGGGACCTTCTCAGATTCTACTGGTGGGAGAAAGGAGACTTGAGCACTGAACCCATAGTGTATCGTATGTGTGTACACCTGTTTGGAGCTGTCTCTTCACCCAGCTGCGCAACTGCTGCTTTACGTCAAACCGCCAAGGATAATGGATCTACGTTTACACTACATGGTACTGAAGTTTATCTACAAATCCTTCTATGTGGATGACTGCTTGAAGTCAGTTGAGAATGAGGACAAGGCGATGGAACTCATTGCTGATGTGAGTGCATTGTGTGCTAAGGAGGACTCCATGTCACCAAGAGGGTGAGCAATAGCCCTACGGTTATACATAGCATTCCTGTTAACACGCGGGCTGGTAGTATCAAGGCTCTGGACTTGAAGAATGAAGAATTACCAGAAGAGAGGGCACTGGGTGTGCTTTGGTCAATACAAAAGGACTGTTTCAAATTTCACATTCAAGTAAAAGCCAAGTCACCGACAAGACGAGGTATTCTGAGTACTGTTAGCTCAGTCTATGATCCCCTGGGTTATGCCTCGCCATATGTTCTCGTCGCGAAGATTCTTCTGCAGCAATTATGTAAAGAAAACCTTGGATGGGATCAAGACATCTCATACAGTGACCAGAAAACATGGCAACAGTGGATAGACGGATTGAGCAAGTTGAGAAACATTGAGCTACCGAGATGCTATAAGCCAGTAAACTTTGGACAAGTGACAGCCTGTCAGTTGCATATGTTCTCAGATGCTTGCGAACAGGGCTATGGAGTTGTAGCCTATATTCGACTTATTGATGAGAACGATCAGATCCACATTTCCTTCGTCATGGGAAAATCAAGAGTAGCGCCGCTCAAAAGAGTGACAATACCCCGAATGGAACTTTACGGCAGCGACACTAGCTGTGAAGTTGAGCAGAATGATTTTGGAAGAACTTGAGTATGAGATCACAGAAACTTTCTTCTGGACGGACAGCATGACTGTGCTGCGTTACATCTCGAATGACACTTCACGCTTTCATACCTTTGTGGCCAACAGAGTCAGCATGATTCGAGAAGCGACAAACAAGGAGCAATGGAATTATGTCGCTGGTAAGATCAACCCAGCCGATGCCTGCTCAAGAGGCATGAATATTGACAAATTGCAGAAATGTGATATCTGGTTCAAGGGACCTGGATTCCTAGGAGAAGAACAGCGTGAATGGCCAAAGAACCTAGATGAAGCTGAGACTGTCAATACACTTCAGCCTGATGATCCGGAGGTAAAACATTCTGTGAATGTAGCCGTCGAGAAGCAGACACGATGTGCCATGGACAAGTGATAGAGCACTACTGTGATTGGACAAGACTCAAGAGGGCAGTTGGATGGATTCTGCTTGTGATTGAAAATCTTAGAAGTGTAAGGAAAGGTGAAAGGACACGAAGGAAAGAAATAACAATAGAGACTCTGAATAGAGCAGAGAAAGCAATAATTCGTCATGTCCAGAAAGCACACTTTCACGACGAAATTGAGAAGTTGAGCAAAGGAGAAGGTTTGAAGCCAGGCTCATCATTGAGAAAACTTGAGCCAATGATGTGCGCTGGAATATTGAGGATAAGGGGACGGCTAGAAAAGGCTGACATTCCATACAGTGCGAAACACCCTGTTATACTGCCGCGACAATCAGCAATCAACAATCTTATCCTGAGAGATTGTCATAAGAAAAAGTAGGACATTTGGGGAAAGAATTCTATGTTGGCCAATCACAGACAGCGATATTGGATTCATACATTAAAAGCCTCGTATGCAGCTTCAACAGCAGATTCAGACCTGCCATCAAGACCTCAGATATGCACACACACACACACAACACACACACACACACACACACACACACACACACGCACACACACACACACAACACACACACACACACACACACACCACACACACACACACACACACACACACACACACACACTTCACAAATGTAGGTGTCGATTGTTTCTCATCAAAAGGGGAAGAAAAGAAGTGAAAAGGTTTGGAGTTATTTTCACTTGTCTCTCCATAAGAGCGATTCATTTAGAGGTTGCAGCATCCTTGGATACCAGTTCGTGCATCAATGCGGTAAGTGAAAACTATGAGATCTGACAATGGAACCAACTTAGTCGGATGTGAAAGAGAGTTACGAGAAGAAATAGAATCGGCAGAAAATTGATGCGGCACTTCAACAAAGGGAATAGCGTGGCAGTTTAACCCTCCGTCTGCATCGCACCATGGTGGGGAGTGGGAGCGGATGATACGAACTGTGCGGAAGGTGTTGTATGCGCTTCTACGACAACAGACAATTCACTTGGATGACGAGGGACTGCAGACACTCTTTGTGAGGTGGAGGAGATTATCAACAACCGACCAATCACCGCAGTGCCGAATGACCCCAGTGACCTGTGTGTGCTCACTACGAACCACCTATCACTGCTCCGCCCACGTGAAACCATGCCCCCAGGAGTATTTAATAAAGTGGACAATTACACCGTAAGAAGATGGCGCCAGGTTCAATATTTGGCAACATATTCTGGAAAAGGTGGGTGACGGAGCATTTGCCTTTACTCCAGTTGAGACAAAAATGGACAAAACCGAGGAGAAATGTAGAAGTTGGAGACATTGTTCTGTTGACAGACAATATGCCCAGAAATTCATGGAACATGGGCAGAGTAACAGAGGTCTTTAAAGATAGGAAAGGATTTGTTCGAACTGTTCAGGTTAAGACCAAATCAACAACTTTGATGAGACCAGTAACAAAGCTGTGTATGATCCTTGAAAGTGAGGGAAAGTCTTAAAATGTAGTGTATGTCATGGAAATTGATACATTTTTCCAAGTGAGAAATTGTTAACAGTGTTTGTTTTTAAAAGGACATTTGTAATAAGTAAAAGGTATTTTTATTTCTCAAGGGTATCACATTTTTTGGTGTTTCTCATGTTTGTAAAGAGAAATGTTGTTTTTCTATTTTGGGATCAAAATTATGAACAAGGTATTTAGTTTGACTTTTTGAGTGCATCATACCTGAAGTTGATAAAAGATGGTACTTGTTTCTCTGGTGACTATGCTTGTCGTGGTGGGGGCTGATGGGATCGGTGGTCGGGCTCGCTGACTTGGTTGACACCTGTCATCGGTTAGACACTACTCACTCACTCATTTTAAAGTAATTTATTTTATTTTCATGTTAAATTATATTATCAGGAATTTGGTAATTGTCTGATTTAATCTATGCAATTAGGGGGCTGGGATGTAAGAGCCAAAATTGGGATTATACTAGCACTTCAGTCAGTGGCACCTGTCAGGAGCTCTTTACTCATTGTTCCCTGTGAGAAGCATGCTGACTTGTATTTAAGGGAAGTTACTCCTTTCTTTGTCATTTTCATTGCCATGTGGTCTGAGAGAAGACATGTTGTTTTTGAGATATGGAAAGCTGAGTAAATGGGGTTTAACAAAATGGTATGTAGATATTTTCATTGTTAATATAATTTATTTTTGTGTTTGAGATATGGTAATGCATAAAATATTGCTATTATAAATTGTCCATGTTTTATTGCAATGTTTTGATAAATATACTCAGTTTTCATGCACTGGTTAAATTTCTTCATTGAGTAAATTTAAAGTGTATTTTATAAGGTTAGGGTGTAGGTTCATTTAGTTATTTTCTCTAATGTTAAAGTTAATTTCCATATAATTTCTGAGCTGTTAAAGTAAATGTATTTCATCTATTTTTTCCATTTATTGACTGTAATTTTCTTAGACATGTAATACTTTAGGTACTTATTACCATTTTTGTTTATTTACAGTCAATCATTTCATTCGTCTGAGAGGATTTATGATGAGAATTGAGAATGATGAAATTGAATATGTATGTCATGAGCTTGAATCTGTGAAACTATGAATTTGAGGGACATGAACATGAACTGACATGAGAAGTGGAATAAAGGAGCACTCTGACGATAAATGAATCTTCATTTTGTTTATCACAGTCATCATTCACTTGATGGTCAGTTAATGAATTTATAACAGGTATAATTAGTGGTAACACCACTTAGATTACCGACAAAGGTTCCCTTTGGCATTTCTTGTGTCTGGAGTAAATACTCAACATTATAAACATGGATCAAAGGATTAACCGATAACACGCTGATTGATTAATTACTTTTTTTTCTTGCACAGCGGATTTGTCAAAAGGTAGTGTTTATGTATGTAGATTTACTAATCTATACTGAATGCACTCTGTCGTGTCTGTGTAAAAACAACGTCCTTCTTTCAAAGGATTAACCGTCAATACATTGATTGATTGCTCATTATTGGCTAACTAAATTACTTTTAGGCGGACATTATGCAAATAGTTGCCAAGTGTGATATCTTGGGTGACCAATGAGACTACACACCAATGTGAAATTCCTGAAACGATATGTCACCTTTTCGTATATTAGACTGTTAAAAGACACATCACTTGGAACCGCTGCAGATGAATGGCATATCACCTCGTTTTTGTGGATATTGATGGATACATTCTTCGAACAAGGTAGTAGCCTGACATTGTTCCTATAACTTTAATCTGTTTTAATTTGAATATTTGCATTTTGTTTTATTCATTTGTGGTAGCATTTAACAGAACCATTGTTTTCGCCGTGAAGTGTAATGAGACAGGCAACATACACTAGGGCGTGTGTGCGAATTATGATTCACATTAGCAAACTATACAATGTCTAGATATTACAGTCCTGTTATAAATTCACTTTAAGTATCAAGCAGATCGGCCGTTTTAACTAAGATTCACAATGCATACAAGTAATAAGTATGATAATAAACTAATTAGGATTATAAGACCAAATATAAAGACGTACATTGACTAGCATCTACATACTGGTGAGTGGACGTTAACCACGTGAGGTGAGGTGAAATTGGGTTTAACGTCGTGCTTGAGAATATTTCGCTCATATGACGACGTGCATGCGTGTATATGTGTATGTGCGGCTGCTTGTACTAGCCCAGACTTAAGCTTGTTTTATAGTGCCAGCTCACTGAGATACCATGCCGCAGTGAAGCATGAATACCCCCACTCAGACACATTATACTGACTCCGAGCCGACCAGTCCTTGTTGTACCCATTAATGCCGAGCGCCAGGCAGGGACCAACAAGTACCATATTTTAACGTCTTTGGTATGACGCGGTCGGGGATCCGCTCTCCGGGCGGACGCTCTAACCAATACACCACGGAGGTGGTCGTTAACCACGTGAATGTAGCAAGAAGTTTATCGCGCAGTATTGTGACTTCGACCCCTACCTCGCTTCCGTGGAAGAGTCCCTAGTATGGTGATTTACCTTCAGTCGTTTGCAATATACAGCCTGTTTTTATATTGTATTGTCATTTATAGTTCCAATATTTTAGATTTAATTGCTAGTTTTAAATGGATATCTGTGATACACTAGTAGTTTTACTGTTCTTCGTCAACAGGATTTTGAATTTCTCACTTTATTCATATTTAATTTAATTATAAAATGTTCTCGTCACCATATGGCTGCAATATTGCCGATGTGACGTTAAATAACAACTCACTTACTCACTCACTTCCATGGAAGAAATCGTTATGTTACAATTTGTGTCATGCAAAATCCTTTAGGTCGTGATTCAAATACATATTTAAGTACGAGTAGAAAGTAGTTTTGATTTCCTAACTTGATGAAAACAAACCATAATCTCCATAAACCATATAATTCTACTTACAATATTATTGTCACTTCGACCACAACCTCGCTTCCGAGGAAGAAATCGTTATGTTACAAGTTGTGTCATGGGAAGTCTTTTAGGTCATCAATCATATGCATATTTTACTACAACTAGTAAGTAGTGTTGATTCTTTAACTTCCGTGATGCGATCTGAACACAAGTAAGATATCGCTCCAGGCTTCCACAACGCTTGCTTCGCACTCACAAACATAACCCATGCAGCACGAACTACGGTATTCGGTGGAAATCAGTGCATGTTGACACCATCACCCGACCCCTGGGAGCAATTGACAACAACGCAACGATTCGGCATGTCTTCGTTGACGTCAATAAATCAGGAAAATGACGAACTTGTTACACACTTTATATACAACTAAAAAAAATCCTTCCTCACATGACGTCACTTCCGTTTCGCTGCAGTGCTCTGGCGACAGAGTTACGTAACCTTCTGAGGTTTTGTTGGCGGGAGAGAGTGAAGCAGGCGACTTTTGGGAACTTTGAATCTCTCGGTATTAATTAACCACAAACAGTGCTTCAGCCAGAATTTTTTGAGTGTTGCCAATT